GGCTGCTCATTTAACCTCTGGACTTTTGTTTCCTCACCTAGAGAAGTGATGATTACCCCTTTGTGATTTGCCATGTAGTATGCTTGGTTTGGTTAGGGTTTTTTGTTTTGTTTTGTTTGTTTGTTTTAATGTGCATTGGTGTTTTGTCTGCCTGAGGAACTGGAGTTACAGACAGCTGTGAGATGCCATTTGGGTGCTGGGATTTGAACCTGGGTCCTCTAGAAATGCAGCCAGGGCTCTGCTGAACCATCTCTCCAGTTTCATGGATAGTGTGCTTAATGAATCATAGTACAACACCTAGAGGCTTCTAATACTTCAGCCTTCCACATTCCCTGACTTTATTTCCCTCTCAATATAAGAGAAAATGGCTAACGAGGTGAGAGTGAGTGGTTGGGTGGGGTTGTTTTTGTTTGTTTTATTTTTGTTTCATTTTGGAGTTTTCATTTTTCAGGTTTTTAAAAACTATCTGATAATGGAACCTAGGCAGGCTTCAAACTTACCATTTAGCCCAGCTTGGGCTTGAACTCATATCAAGTCTCTTGCCTCAGCCTTCTTGGTACTTAGTGGAACCATGAAGGCATTGGGAATTAGATGTGGGGATGGCTGTAGAGCTTTTGGGAGTGGCCAAGTTGATCTTCAGGCCTCCCATTCTGGCGGTAAACTTAACACTGTTGCCAGCTGTTTATCTTTAGCTAGAGACCTCTGCTTGTGGGCAGGGGACACAAAATAGACTCATTTACCGAGTCCTCTTCCCACAGACATGGCCAACCTGTCACTTCACGACCATGATGGCTCCAGTGGCGCCTCTGACCAGGACACACTGGCTCCTTTGCCGCACCCAGGGGCTGCCCCTTGGCCTATGGCTTTCCCTTACCAGTACCCGCCACCTCCGCATCCCTACAATCCACACCCAGGCTTCCCAGAACTGGGCTACAGCTACGGCGGGGGCAGCGCCAGCAGTCAGCACAGTGAAGGTAAGTCGGAGAATCAGCCAGAAGGCATCTGCAGGGAACCCAGGTCACCTCTGTGCCTCCATCCTGGCCCTGTCTGTTCCCTATAGGCAGTCGAAGCAGTGGCTCCAACCGAAGTGGCAGTGACCGGCGCAAGGAGAAGGACCCAAAAGCTGGGGACTCCAAATCAGGTGGTAGTGGCAGCGAGTCAGACCACACTACACGTAGCAGTCTGCGGGGGCCACGGGAGCGGGCGCCAAGTGAGCGCTCAGGCCCAGCGGCCAGTGAACACAGTCACCGTAGCCACCATTCGCTGACCAGTAGCCTGCGCAGCCACCACACACACCCGAGCTATGGCCCGCCCGGAGTGCCCCCTCTGTATGGTCCCCCAATGCTTATGATGACCCCACCGCCTGCAGCCATGGGGCCCCCAGGAGCCCCTCCAGGCCGTGACCTGGCCTCGGTGCCCCCGGAACTGACAGCCAGCAGACAGTCCTTCCGCATGGCAATGGGAAACCCCAGTGAGTTCTTTGTGGATGTAATGTGATCAGGGCCCCTCTCCCGCTCCCACCCTCCTGAGCCGGCTGCCTCCCTTTCTCCATCAGTCAGTCTATTTTTACTTTGGTACCTAAAAGGGAAATAAATGGAACTAACTGCTACTGCTTGCTGGTAGCAGCAAGGATGAGGGGGTTTCTACTCATCCATGCTACAGCCCCCTAACCTGTCTCTGGCCCAGCTGGTGCCTCTGCCCACTAATCAACACCATTCCACCCCGTTCGGGCTTCCCAGGATTTTTCATATCCCTGGCTCTGCACTGCTGGTCTTACTTTCTGTTGCCCCACTCCCATGTTTAGGAACTGACCCCAGTGGTATCACGCCCTTATGCTCGCTCCTCCCCACCTCTCCCCCAACCCTTTTTCCTACCTCCTCAAGCATGTACGCAGAGATCTTGATTTTACCCCACCATAGACACCAAAACATGGCCTTTCCCTTCCTAACTGCCCTGCCCACGGCTTTAGGCCTTTACCTTACAACTGTAGCCACCTCTAGTAGGCATCCATGCTATCTGTCCATTCTTGGACCCAGTCCCAATCAGAAGCCCCGAGAGCCCTCCCCTCTGATGCCAGGGAATATCTGCTGGGCCTGGACCCCCATCCGTGCCTGTCCTGTGTGCTGGTTCCTGCAGATCTAACCCTACTAACCAACAGGCTCATCTAATTTCTGGGCCTGAAACATCTTTTCTTCTTTTTCTTCCTTCAAATTTCCCTGGGCCTGGAGCAGCCAAGAATTTCGGGCTCTTTGACTTTCTGTGAGTCCCCAGGAAAGGGAGGCCCAGCCTCCAAGGAGACCAGGAACTGCTTCAGCAGCCCCTCAGGGCTTCCCAAGGATGTCCAGCCCTCACACCCACACTGCAAGGTCACTAGGCTTCTTGGAAGGACCACAGCTTCATCCAAGCATAAGCATGGCAGACCACGTTCTTTCCAGAGAGAAGTAGAGAAGCTTTCTCCCCACCCCTGAGACAAACGCACACGCGTGTGCACACACACACAGACACAGACACACACACATACATCTATGCAAGTTTTCATGAGCCTCAGGGCTGGTCCCTGCCCAGAGGGCTGGACCCTTTCTCCAAGTCATCTCCTAGATAGTGGGGCTGGTCCCTGACTGCCCTCTCCCCTGCCTGCTTGCCCTCAAGTCTCCCACATGCGTTCTCAATACCTTGGTACTGGGATAAAGCCCTTAAAAGCTGGGCTCAGCAGAGGGTTCCCCAGGTAACTGACAGGTGGTTCTCTACTTCAGTGTTGCCCCACACATGTCCTTATCTGCTGCCCTGCCTGCCTTCACCAAGACACCTGAAAGCCAAGGCAGGCAATGCAGGTCAGCTGAAGTCATACAAGAGGACCACTGGGACTTCCAGACAGTTCCAGTTCTTCATTGTTTTCCTCCTTAAATCACAGTTTCTCTTTAAAACAACACTACAAACTCTATTGACTTAACCCAGACTCATATTTTCAGGGCAAGGGTGTCAGAGCTGGGGATTTAGCTCTGTAGTAGAGTGCTTGCCTCGTTCGCCCTGGGGTTCAGTCTCCAGAAAATGCCTCCCCCGTCAAGATGTCCTTAGCCCATGCTTGAGGGCAAGCTGAGGTGGGGATATTTTGACATTCGTTCATTTAACAAATATTTCCTAGGGTTTTAATGAACAAAGGGCTATGTTGGAAGCACGAGTCGCTTACGTGTCTTCAGTACCTCTGACTCTGCCGTGTCCTATTGGTGAGAACCCCCCACAGTGCTGTGCGTCGGATGCCAGTGTCCCCGTGATTCCATCTTTGATTCCTTTTTCTTTGCCAAAGTAGTGTCATCTATTCTCTTTTCAATTGGTATGCTGGCCATTTCTAAATATGAATTTCCAGCCCCGGCTTCCCCCACTCTTTAGATCTCTTTATTACCCACTGGGCCTCTCCATAGGCATGTCCACATGTCCCTAGCCCAGTATTATTCCTCTTGAATTCCTGTCCTAGTGACTTTCATCACAATCTACATAGGCCCACCAGCCAGGAACGCTCATGGGCTTAAATTCCTTCTTCCTATATGGTATTAGTCAGCATATCACACCCTTTCACTCTGACACTCTCTGAAGTTCAGCTGTTCCTCTCCCCCTCCTTAATTTACAGAGCACGGGATTTGGAGTCAGGTTGGTTTGGGTTTGAATTCCAGCTCTTCCATTTTTGGTTGTGTAATAGTTATTTAACCTCTCTGGAGCCTCAGTCCTGTATGTAAAATGATGATAATAATACCTACCTCACAGGGTTGTTGTGAGGATTTAAATTAGATATTGTACGAAAAGTGCCTAGCACAGTGCCTGGCACACAATAGAATAGGTGCTCAATAAATGGTAGCTATTATTATTACTATCATTACTAATTTATTCTAAACTGGCAAACATTTAGGGTATGTTAGGAAGGGAAAGCTTTTGCAAAGATAAGCATGAAACCAGTGGTTCAAGGGTTAGAAGTATCTGGTTTTGATCACTGAAGAATGTCCCAAAGTGATGGTCTTTTGAGAAATATCAGGTCTTCACCCTGCTATGACCTGGCTTCTGGGAATAGTAAGGTTAGTAACCAGATTTCCCCACCCCACCCCAACCCTCTTCCCTTTCCACCATAGCAGTCTTGGGCCTGCTCAGCAACAGGATGTCTCTGCCTACTGAGACAAGAACCAAATTTTCTTGATTTGGCAAGACCCAGGCAGGCTGTTTGTGTTCAGGGTTGGCTCCACCTTATTCTCTCAATTTGGATAGCATGAGGGATGGAATTTCATAATTCCATGCCCATCTGAATTGGGGTGGAGTCGAAATAGGGTCTCTTATGTATCCCTGGCTGTCCTAGAACTCCCAGTGTAGACTAGGCTGGCCTCGAATTCGCGGAGATGTTCCTGCCTCTGCCTCTCGAGCACTAGAATTAAAGGAGTGTACCACCAACACATAGTCACAGGTTTAGCTGAGAAAAGTGTTAACTATAGTTCTTCCAAGAATTCGTTTTGTCAAGATTTGCCCTCCCCACCCTTTCTCTTTGGATAATTATCCCTAGGAAAGGGCTCAGTCATGACTGCAATCCATGCATATACCTTGAAAGAATCAGTCCTGGTGTTAAAAAGCAGTGAATTGAGCACTAACGGGCTTATGCAAAGTTGTGTTTGTCAAGTGAAGATAGCCAATCTTCGGAATCTGAAGACAATTAAAGACTACAGTAATTCAAAATTTACAACTGCTTTCGACAAAGCTTTGATCTCTCAAAGCCTACCGAAACAATTTAACTGGGAACTGGAAGGATTTCAGAGACTACACTTCCCGTGATACTCCGTGAAGCAAATGAATGGGTGGAGTGCACTATGACGCGTGTTGCAAGCAAGACTCTCTAAGGCCAGTGTCCGCTCTCTCGAAGGCAGTCGGTAGTTGTAGTTTTGCTAAACCTAGGGCGCTCTGATTTAGCAGTTTGAAAGCTGCGGGGGCTGACGGGACTTGTAGTCGCCTCTGGAGGCAAGCGCGCAGGCGCAGCTGAGATCGGGGCGGGGCGGGGCGGGGCGGGAGCACTGCAGTGAAAGCCGAGGCAGCGGACAGGCGAGCAGGGGGTGGGCGGACATCTTGGGATCCGAGAGTGGCCAGGCCGGCCTTGTGGGGGCTGCTGACACCAGGTGAGCTGGGAAGCTGTACTTACGGGTCCTTTTCGGGCCGGCGAAGGCTCCGTGGTCTCTGGCCGTGCCCTGCACTGTGCTGGGTGCAAAACTGTCCGCACCCGGGAGTGGCCTCAGCCTTCAGACCCGGGAGGGAGCGGACGACCGGGCGGAGATGCCTCGGGCGCGATTGCAGCAAGGGCGGGGAGCGACGCCCTCCAGTGACCCGCCGGGCGTCTCTGGGGAGACACAGGGGCCCGAATCCTAGAGCCGGGACGCCGCGCGACGCCCCGACCCCTAGAATCCTGACAACGCTCAGCCCTGAGGCTTCCCATCCCCCCCCCCCCCCCCCAGGACAGTGACATCCCCTTGTGCCACTCCCTTGGACAGTGACAGGTCTCGAACCTTGCGATATTCCTTCCTCCTATTTACCCCCACGGCTCTTTATCGTCAGACCTGTGACATGCCGCGGTGCCATCTCCCCGGCCTGGATATCTCTTCCCTAGGCTGAAAGCCGGCTTCTCAAGCCTCACTAACCGCAGAGTAGGCCTTGTCTCTCAGCTTTCCCTTTTTCTACTGTCAATATGTCTCCGCCGATTTGTGCTCCTCAAAAACTCCTATGACCTTTGCCATAGGAGAACTTCTTTAGGGACTCGCACAACCGTCTTTGCTGATGTGGGGTAACCCTACTATATTGCTAGCAATTAAAGCTAACCTTTCCCTTAACTAAATACTTCATTTCTGCCCAGGACACACACACAAAACTACCTCCAACCCCCACCCGCGGTTCCAGTGCTCTGAGCCACCTTCTACTTGATACCTGTGGACTTAGTCCTTTGCTCAGGAGTCAACCTCCATTCTGCATTTTTTTTTTTTTTTTCTCTTTCAGCTTCATTGGTCTTAGGTTTATTTTCCAGTTTCAGAAAGTCTGTTAAACTAACCCCCATGAAATTAATACCTGGGCTAATTCAGAAAATCTAGAACCAGATTAACCCCTTTTCTCAAATAGTCTAAATTAGTTTTGACCCAAATAATTTGGACAGTTGTGGCATTCTACTATCTCTGCCCATTGCATATAAATACCAGGCCTGAAGTGAGTTACTGGTAGATCACAGTGTAGATGGCAGGATCAGTGCTACACACAGGCCTTATTTTTATTGCACTTCGAAATTTTGAAAGGACAGTGACCAGAAATAACTGTAATGGGGACTCAGCAATTTAAGAATACTCACTGCTCTTCCAGAAGACTTGAGTTCAGATCCTAGCTTCCATACATAGAACACACACACTGGCATGTACATGAAGGAAAAATGACAAATTTAAGAAGAACAGCAGTAAGAGACTTTTGGATCATAGTGTGTTTTTGTCAACACTGCAGCCTCTGCTTCTTTGCCTGCTTGTCTCACTGCCTGGGAAAGATGCGCTGCTTCAGCCACTTTCCTGGCTCCATGTTAGAGCCTAAGGGCCTGCTTTCCCTCCCCCCACTCCCCCCTCACCCTGCACACCCTTTCCTGGAATGTGTAGACTTCTAGAGGTTCATGCTCTGCTGCCTTCTTGGAAAGGTAGTGCTTGCTCTAAAGGTTGTGCTTGGTGGAGGCCCCAGGCCCAAGCCAACTAGAGTAATTCGTACCGCCATTCCTGCATCTGCAGGCAGGCCTTCTTGGTGAGTCACTGGAAGGAGCCTGACTGAGAGTCTGCACAGCAGGGGGTTGAAAAGAATCCTTGCTGAGCTCAGCGCTGTGAAGGAGTGGGCGTTACTCTGGTCCAACCCTTAGAAAAGGCTAGATGAAAATGGCCTTAAATCATGGGCTCCATGATTAAGAAATCGCTTTCTCCTATCCAGTGTGGAATAAACAGGAACTGGAGCTTCCTAGCTGAGGGGGGGGGCTTCCCTGGGAAAGCTGCAGGGTCACTTGCTAGGGGACTGAGCCAGGAAAAAGCCAAGCCTGTACAGTCCCACTTGGGCAAGGGCTCTGAAGATTTCCCTTATCTTGCCCCCACCTTTCCTTCCTAGGTCTGTTCTCAGAGCAATGGGTCACAGAGACTAAGCTGCCACCATGATTGGAGGGTTATTCATCTATAATCACAAGGGGGAGGTGCTCATCTCCCGGGTGTACAGAGATGACATCGGGTAAGTTCCTTGGCTGAGCATGCTGTGCGCCAACCTCCCTGTCACCTCAGCCTGAGCATGCAATGTAGCCTGGTTTCCATTAGCTGTCGGCCTAGCAGCAAGGCTGGGGCCCTCAGAATGACAGTCCCCCCAGCCCCCAGCCCCCTGCCCCCACCTCCAGGCTTAGAAATGAATCCCCCTGCCCTTGCTCCTGTAATCTCTGAGGGTTAGATCTTGTTGCTAATGATGAGTGCTTTCCCAGTCAGGTTGATTCTTCCTTTCAGGAGGGTGCCCTGTCTCCAATGGGTGTAGTTAGTACCAGGGTGGACACTAATCCATCTAAATCTTGCTTTCAACATGCTTCTCATACTGAGAGCCTTCCCTAGATCCCTGTAAAATCCTCTTTGGTCTGTTGACTCAGCTGTTTTCACTTCTTCTGGGCCCTTCAGTTGTGACCAGGCTTGAAGTGCTCTGTGGGTCCTGCTGCCTTTGTATTTCACTCCATGTCCTAAGTCTCTTAGACCTCACAGAGAGCTCCCTGCAGCCTTCCTTCTCACTCTGCCTCACACTGTGGCACTTTGCTGACTACACTACTACACTGCTCTAAGCTGAGGCTAGGCTCCGCTGGTACTTCCTACCTTGTGTTCCTTTCCCAAAGAGCTTGAGAGAAATAGTCACAGAATAGACCTGTCATGGCTCTTGTCTTGTCTCCCTGGCTGATGGGCTAGCTCGGTATGGCCTCTGAGCCACACTCATTGTTGTAAAGCTGAGCTAGACTTTGTGGCAGTGCCTAGCCTAAGTGAGCATGGCTGATCCCACTCACTCCTTCCTGTTCCTCCTACCTCTGATGGTCCTGACTGATGCTGCAGCTAGGCCACATGACTCCCTGCATGCCTCCATGCACTCTAACTGCTGCCCCTCATGCATGAGCTGCGCCCCCTGGTGTGTTGTGTCGTCTAACCCTATCTTTCCTTGCTGTCACTCTCCTCCTGTTGCTGGCGTCATTTCTCTCATCCCATCTCATTGGCTGATGTAGCAATAGGTAAGCAGCCTGTCACGCTGCCACTCAGGTACAGGCGGGTAGGGGGTCCTGCTCCCCATAATTGTTTCCTTCATCATTTTTCATCCCCTTAACTACAAAAGAATTGGGTGGCACAGTCCGTAATCCCTCCTCACCCTATAGGATAGAGTCTTCCCTGAGGTCATATTGGCTTTGTCCAACTTCCAGAGGAGTTGGCTTTCCCCACTGGTGGGGCCAATAGGGATTTTTCTCTTCAAGGCCTGGAACTTCCTGGAAAGCTAGAGAGGTAACAGCTGGGCTATATCTAGGAAGTTGAAGTCAGACCTGGGAGTTACTTTATTAAAGCTACACCTACCTTTCCGTCATTATCATTTGACTCCCCTATTTCTTATGGCCTTCAGATACCAGCCCAATGCAGTCCTTCTACCCATGGCCTTACTGGCTGCTATAAGAGGGGAGCCCTGGTGGTTTAAGCCTTGACTTTTGAATATATGTTGTTTCAGTAGTAAGAAGGGTGGAGCTGCCAGCATCTGTAGGTGACCTTTTGTGGTGAGGTCTGCCTAGATGCTGAGCAACCTCTTTGAATCCTTTTCCCTCAGGAGGAATGCAGTGGATGCCTTTCGGGTCAATGTGATTCACGCACGGCAGCAGGTGCGCAGTCCTGTCACAAACATTGCTCGCACCAGCTTCTTCCATGTTAAGCGGTCCAACATCTGGCTTGCAGCAGTCACCAAGCAGAATGTCAATGCTGCCATGGTCTTCGAATTCCTCTATAAGATGTGTGATGTAATGGCTGCTTACTTTGGCAAGATCAGTGAGGAAAACATCAAGAACAATTTTGTGCTCATATATGAGCTTCTGGATGGTGAGGCATTTGGGGACTGATGGTCTTGGTGGGGATTAACCTAATTGGGAGGGATCTGTAGACTCCATCATACTCAGAACTTTGTTTCCTGAGTCTCTGATCTCTTAGGTGATGATCTCTGTCCTTGATACTGCCTGTCCAAATCTACATCTAAAGACTGTTTTGAAGTAGAATACAAAAAATAGGCCAGTAGGTGGGGTGGGGGAAGATTTGGTCTTCAATGGGCCTGGGAACTTAACTATGAGAGGTTTGACAGTTGAGCCACTGTATTAGCCTCTCCTTTTCAGTTTTAGCCTTAGTTCACAGACTGTCTCCCCAGCTCTCATCTCACTACTACAGAGCCTGGAGAAGAGGAACTCTTAGAGGTCCCTTTGGCTGTCCTCTCTTAGAGTCTGTGACTGCTTCCCCTTTAACAACATCTGTTTTCTGGTGAAAACAAGGACTCATGATTCTTTTAGCCTCTTAGTCATATGACTCGTCTGTGGTTTTTTGTTTGTTTGTTTTGTTTTTTGTTTGTTTGTTTTTTTGTTTACATTTAAAAAACTTTCTATTTTCTTAAAAAGAGCAAATCATAAGCTGGGTACTTTAAGCTAGAAGACCTTACTGCAGATGGTTACACACAGGCATCAGGACCTGTGCAGGCCAGGTATACCCAGGCTATAGGAAGCACTGGAATGAAGGAAGGAGCCTTTGGTTTTCTCTAGAGGCTAGTAATTCCCTTCTTTTTGTCTTGTTTTTCTGTTTTTGAGACAGGTTTTGGGGGGAAGGGTTGCATTCATGTGTCTGTCTGTCCTTGCCTGTCCTGGAACTGGGTCTGTAGACCAGGCTGGCCTTGAACTCTGAGGTCTCTAACAGCTATAATTCCCTTCTTTTTGCAGAGATTCTGGACTTTGGCTACCCACAGAACTCAGAGACAGGCGCACTGAAAACCTTCATCACTCAGCAGGGCATCAAGAGTCAGGTACTTCAACTGTGCAGAACACAGAGAGGGTGTACCCCAAACCCCTTTCCTGCCAGTTGGTCCCCAGCTTTATCCTAGCTAACTCGTGAGCCTGCCCTAGACAGGAAGTTCTGGTCTCAGCTTCCTGTCATGACTGCAGGCCTGTTTTGCCCTGGGTAGCTCTCCTACCCCAGAAGCTGCCGACTCAGCCTCTCTATTACCAGGAATACAGCTCAGTTGGTTTCTTCTACACCAAAGGCAGGGGGTATAGCTGCTCAGGAGGCCTTGTGGCCCTCAGAAGAGCATGTGGGCTCTCCTCCGACTCAAGCCTCATAGCTTTCTCCTTCTTTTTGCTTCCTGTGCTGCTTCCTGTGCATCTCCTGGCTCCTCTGCGGCCTCTAGCATCAGGTACGTTGTTCTTCACAGCTACCATTGTAATTTTGCTGTTCTACAGACTCTGCCCTGTGTAGGTTGTGAGGGAGGGTGGGTTACAGAGTAATGAACAGAAGAAGAGTGTTGAGTTTAGAGTGGGGAGAGGGTAATGGAAGGGGGAGAGGAGTGAGGTCATTGGCCACCTTTACCCCATATAGACAAAAGAAGAACAGTCCCAGATCACCAGCCAGGTGACTGGGCAGATTGGCTGGCGGCGGGAAGGCATCAAATATCGCCGAAATGAACTCTTCTTAGATGTTCTGGAGAGTGTAAACCTGCTAATGTCACCACAGGGTAAGTGCCTTCTCATGATGAAATTGGGGGGGGGGGGGTAGAGCCTGGTCTTTTTGCTTGCCTTAGCTGCCCTGTGTCTCTGTTCTGTCACCAGGGCAGGTACTGAGTGCCCATGTGTCAGGCCGGGTGGTGATGAAGAGTTACCTGAGTGGCATGCCTGAGTGCAAGTTTGGAATGAATGACAAGATTGTCATTGAAAAGCAGGGCAAAGGCACAGCTGATGAAACAGGCAAGAGGTACCTAAGTGTGGGAGCTCAAGGGAAACAAAGCTGCGTGGGCCTTTGAGAGTTCAATGAGGCCTTTGGACCTCATTTCTCCTGGAATTGCTAAACTCTTTCCAAGAGCATCAAATGATAAGATAGATGTCATTGTCCTCAGAGAACAAGCTCCTTTGTTTGTTCCCCAGCATCAGGGTACTCAGGTGATAATGAACCTGAAGGCTCTCCCTTACCTCAAACTGTAGGGCAGGGACTCCCAAGTCAGAAAGCTGTTCCGATAGCTTCCCATAACCAGAGTGGCTAGCCTGCTGTGGCATGGTCTCTTAGTCTGGCACAGACTGTACCTGGGAGAGTTCTGCTTCTGTTGCAGCGGCAAGCAATCAATTGCCATTGATGACTGCACCTTCCATCAGTGTGTGCGGCTCAGCAAGTTTGACTCTGAACGAAGCATCAGCTTCATCCCACCTGATGGAGAGTTTGAACTCATGAGGTGCCACTGGGGTGTGAGGAGGCAGGGAAGAGTTGGGAGGAAGAGCGTGGGACCAGCTCTGAGGTATCCAATCTGTTCTCCCCTCCAAAGATACCGTACCACCAAGGACATCATCCTTCCTTTCCGGGTGATCCCATTGGTGCGGGAAGTGGGACGTACCAAACTGGAGGTCAAGGTGGTCATCAAGTCCAACTTCAAGCCCTCACTTCTGGCCCAGAAGATTGAGGTGAGGACAAGGGACTTACAACAGGGTAGACTTGACTCAGAAGTACGGACAGCTCACAGATGGCTGTTTCACTCCTAGGTGAGGATCCCAACTCCACTGAACACAAGCGGGGTGCAGGTGATCTGCATGAAGGGGAAGGCCAAGTACAAGGCCAGCGAGAACGCCATTGTGTGGAAGTGAGTCTTGAAGGCCACAGCCAGGCTCAAGATGCCATAGTGTACCTTCTTGTTAAGTTTCACCTTTTGTCCTCTTCTGTGGATTATGCAGTGAGAAGTGTGCCTACTTTTCTAGGAGCCTGTGTTTGTATTGTCAGCCGAGGGGGCGGGGGGGGGGGGGTGGGAGGGGAGAGAGAGAGAGAGAGAGTCCCTGCACTTGAGCTTGTATATTTGTCTATTTTTCAAAAGTATTTCCCACTGGCCCTTGTCTTGTGTCTGAAGCATACAGTCTGGGTAAGGGAGAGCTCACCCATACGTATAAGAAGAAATTGAAGCCCCAAGTGCTGAAATTGTAACAACAAGTAGTTCTCAGGGCCTTGAGCTCTCATCCTTCCCATGACACCGCCCATAAGCTCATATGCCTTATTCCCTCTCCCTCTCCATGCTTGAAACAAGCAATCCCTACTTTGAGATTGAGAATTCTTCAAACTACCACAGGCCCCCTACTGCTCATTACCCCTGTGTTCCTAGGATCAAGCGCATGGCAGGCATGAAGGAATCACAGATCAGTGCAGAGATTGAACTTCTGCCCACCAACGACAAGAAGAAGTGGGCTCGACCCCCCATCTCCATGAACTTTGAGGTATGGGGGGGGGAGCCTAGTGCCATGGCTGGGTGTGATGGTAGTCAGTGATCTTTCAGGTCCGTCTCTGCTCTTAGGTGTGAGGAAACTGGGAAGTGTCTTCACTTGATAGACCTATCCTCTTTAAGCCTCTCAATAGAAGTCAAAATTTAATCTGACAGAAAGCTTTGACTTCTCTTGACTTGTCACAAGAGTTCTTAAGAAACATGTAGGTTGTTTGAAAGACAGTTAAGAGAATATTGTTAGAGACGACAACAAGCTTGACTTTGCTTTGTGTGAATTGGGCATATCATTTGCTCCCTTCATTTTTGCAGTCCATAGTGTTGACAAACATAAGTATGTCAAAGGTAGTTAGTTCTCTGATTACCTCCTGACATTTGAGAAGTGATTATCATCACAGCCAGGGCCTTGTGAGCTTCCCCACCCCAGCCATTCAAAAACACCTGTGGTAGATGAAGGAGCCACTGTGATAAGGCCATGTTCCTAACTGGCTGTCCTCTGCCCAGGTGCCATTCGCGCCTTCTGGCCTCAAGGTGCGCTACTTGAAGGTATTTGAACCGAAGCTGAACTACAGTGACCATGATGTCATCAAATGGGTGCGATACATTGGCCGAAGTGGCATTTATGAAACCCGCTGCTAGCTGCCTAGTTGCAGCTGGCCCGCCTCCCCACCCACCCTTTTCCACAGGTCCAAGTATCCCCAGTGGCCATTCGTCAGTCTTCCTCCCTCCTGCTTTGCTGCCTTTCCTTTGCTCTAGCCCCTGAGTATAGGTCTGAACCAGCCACAGTGGGAATGCTGAGGCAGTCCCCAGCTTTCTGGGCAGGGTGGTTTTTGAGGCTTCTTTTCCATCTGTCTGTCCTGGCTTAGTGCCAGGCCCTGAGTTTTGTGACCAAAGCCAGGTGGCCTCCTCTCCTTTCTACCCTTGTGGCCACACCTCTGCAGTGGGAAGGTTAACAACCCTCACCTCAGAGCTCCCCCAAAGGCCAGTAACAGATCCCCCAGCCTGTAGCCCCTGCTCTGCTTTGGGATAGTATGCTTTGTTTTGTACACATGTGACTTTGTCCAGTTATAAACCCAATAAACTGTAGAATGGAATTGTTGGCTAGTGTTAATGGGGCTCTCAGGGAGGGTCTGTTGGGACTGTTAACTCTGTGTAACCCTGGCTGTAGTAGAACTCTGTGTGTAGACCAGGCTGGCCTCTGCCTGCCTCTGCCTCCTGAGTGCTGGGATTAAAGTATACACTGACATGCCAGGCTTTGTTTTGTTGGGTCTTGCCACATATAGCTCTGGCTGACCTAGAACTTAACTATATAGACTAGACTGGCCTTGAATTTTTTGGTGATCCCTTTGCCTCTGCCTCCTAAGTGTTGGTATTACAGACATGTGCCTCCACTCCAGGCTTTGTTTGCTGAGGTGGTTTTTCACTGTGCAAGCCCAGCTGGCTGAATTCAGGATCCTCCACCTCCATCTCCCAAGTCGAGTGTTACAGATGTGCAGTCTTCTAATTAGCACACATCAAGGAAGATTTGTATTTGTTCTTGCAGCTACCCTGAAAAGCTGATGTCTTAAATCCATCCATTTCCAGTCTCACTGTGTGAACCACCAGAAGAGAGATGTTTGTTTTCCCAAAGGAATTGTGGGCTAGGACAGAAAAAGAGTAGGTTTGCCCTCACCAGTTGGTATAGCTTGCCAAGTTTCAGCTTTTTAAAACTTCAAACAAACAAAAACTACCAAAGTAAATTTGAAGCATAAGCAGAATAATGTAACAAACCTGTCACCCAGCTTCAGTAGCTAATCGACTCTGGCCAACTCCAGTGTGTAACTTAACCTAAGGTATACTATAAAATTGTCTACAATTGCATCGGGATCCAGTTATGGTATCAGATGCCCTGCAGCTGGAGTTATAAGCAGGTATGACTTGCCTGATGTAGGTGCTAAGAACTAAACTTGGGTCTTCTATAAGGATGAGCAGTATGTGCTCTAACTACTGAGCCATTTCTATCCCCTAATTGTTTTAAGACCATGAGTATTTTGCCTGCACCAAATGCATGCAGTACTCTTCAATGCCAGAAGGGGGCATTGGGTCATCTGAAACTGGGGTTAGAGCTATGTGAGCCTTCCTGTGGGTTCTAGGAAACAAACCCCAATGCTTTGAAAAAGCACAAGTGTTCTTTACTTCTGAGCCATCTCTCCCAACCTCTGGATTTTAGTGTGGTGTGTGTATGTGTGCATGTAGAGGCCAGAGATCAGTGTTGAGTGTGTTTCTCAATTGTCTTCCACCTTATTTTTCAAGTTGTATCTCAACTGAACCAGAACTCTGATTTGGCTCAGCTGACAGCTACTAAGTCTCAGGGATCTTCTTGTCTCTGCCTGCCCAGCAAGGGATTACAGGTGTGTGAGAAAGAGAAACGAGTCCCTCACTTCATAATACAGGTACTAGAGACTCAGGTTAGCAAAGCAAAGCAGTTTATTTTTTGTGTTGTAGAATCAATCTGTCAACATGTGGAGAAGAGGCAAACATGGCTGGCTGATTTGGCACCAAACAGTGGTTTATAGAGTCCCTGATCTAAAAAACCAAAAATCAAAATACCTGCTTGCTCCCCCCCTCTTTTCCTCCCCCCCCCAGGTTACAGCCTCTCCTATTATCTCCAACCCCAAACCCCATCCTCCTGGGCTGCAGATCCCGCTCACTTTCCTAATACATAGGTTCAGTTATGTAGCTGATTGACTTCTCAGCCCTGAGGTAAACTAAGATGCTAGCCAGGGAAAGAAGAACTGTGTGCCTCTTGATTACTCGATAAGCACTAAATATACCTTATACTGAGAATTTTTTACCGGTGACTTTTACTTGGATCAAATCCAGGTCCCTATGCCTGCATAGCTAGCACTATCCTGAATCATTTCTCCAGCCCCTAATCTGTATTAACTGTAAAACGGTTATTAGACTAGATTTAGAGGCTCAATTGCTGGTTTTGTAGCTATGAGTGACCTTGCCTTTGTTTTTTCTTTTTCTCTCTGAGACAAGGTTTCTTTGTGTAGTCTGAGCTGTCTTGGAACCCACTCTGTAGAACTTGCTGGCCTTGGACTCACAGATATCTACCTCTCTTTGCCTCCTAAGTGCTGGGACCTTGAATTCTTGATCCTATCACTGCCTCCTGGATGTTGGAGTTACAAACATATGCCACTGTGTCCAGTTTTATGAGGCACTGTGGATCAAACACAATGCTTCAGGCATGGTAGACAGGCACTTTACCAACTAAGTTATATCCTCAGGCATACTGATAGCTTTTCTAAACTTAAACACCAAGACTGGCTCCCCATTGCAGTAATGCTTAATTAAGATGGATGAGTGGGCTCTCTTTCCCACTGTTCCCCTGGGGCAAACAAGACTTTTCATGTCTCCCTCTTTTCTGTCCTCTCTTTGTCTCTTTACCTCTTTTGTTTTTCCTTCCCAACCCCCTTCCCTTTCTAATAAAACTTGTCACTTAAAAAAAATGGATGAGTGGGCAGTCCGTTGTAGTGGCACTTGCTTTTTAATTTCAGCATTTGAATGACAGGCAGGAGGCTAAGGAGTTCTGGGTTAGTTTGGACTGCCTAGGGAGGTTCTCATAAAAATTAATATGGGTGTAATTTGGCCATATTAGGAAGGCAGTAGTGTTACAACAAGGTCTACTTGAGAAAAATCGAAGGGTGGGGGCTGGTCTTTTTACAGAACCCAAGGTTCAGGGTGTAAGAAAATCTGCTTTGTCTATAGACTTAGAATAAACATTTTATAAAGGTCTTGTTGATCGGGTTTTCTGCCTTGGAGTGGTGGAAGAACAGAATAGCCTGTTTCTCAATGACCTGGTTTAGTACCTATGGAACTGAGCACAGAGCAAACAGGCAGGTGGAAGGCTGGAGCTGATTCAACTAACTGGACAAAACGCAACCAATAGACTCAGGACTGAGCAGAATGCCCAGCGCTGGAGAGTTGGCTTGAGTCAGGAAAACGCCCCGGCCTAAAGGTTTGGGTGGGCGCTCAGCGACACCCGCCTGGCGGGGAAGGCTCCGAGCTAGCAAAGACAGTCTGTGTCTAGGTGGGGCTCCCCTCACGGCACCTCCTGTGCTCCTCACCCTGATAAACGTAGGGCGACTCTGCCACATCCTTCGATTCCCTCTACCTTCCAGAAAGCAGCTAAAACCGTACAGGTGCTTGATATGGTCGTGAAACAGGGATTGCGCAGGCGCAGAGGTCGCCGTGCCTGAGGGACGCCGCAGCGCTTGCGTGCAGTTCCGATAGCCACGCCCCCTGGACTCCATTCTGGCTTCTGCTTTCTTACGTCATGGCTGCGCATGCGCCTTGGGAGACAGTGGGGGGTGCTATTCCAGAGGGGGAAGGGCAAAAAGGCGCTCCTAGGCCTAGATCTCATCACGACTGCGCAGACGGGATCCCGGGTGAACATGGCGACTTGCGCCGAAATCCTGCGGAGCGAGTTCCCAGAAATTGACGGGCAGGTCTTCGACTACGTGACCGGTGAGCGAAACGGAATTAACTGCCCGGGGAGGCCGAAGTGGAGATCGCGGGGGAAGACTGAGGGTGGACAGTGTAGCAGACCGCTACCTGGTCTCTCTGCGTGACCTCCTGTCTTGAGGGCTGGTGGGGTCTGGAGTCCCGAGTGGGCTGATCAGACACTGAGACTGCTTCTTGTTCTGCGGTACCCGGCTCAGGCGTCTTGCATAGCGGCAGCGCGGACTTCGAGTCTGTGGATGATCTGGTGGAAGCTGTGGGGGAACTATTGCAAGAAGTGTCTGGGGACAGCAAGGATGACGCGGGCATCAGGGCTGTCTGTCAGCGCATGTACAACACTCTACGCCTGTAGGTGCCAAGGGAATGGAGTTGAGGGCACAGGGTGGCCAATGGAGTAGGAACGAGTGGGAACGTCTGAAGGCTGTAAATCTTTTCTCCCAACTGACTGCTTTCTGTCCCTACCCACGCAGGGCTGAGCCACAAAACCAGGGAAACAGCCAGGTGCTATTGGACGCCCCCATCCAGTTGTCAAAGATAATGGAAAGCTACGGTGAGAGTGAGGGACATTGAACTAGCTGCCTTCTGCCTGCACCCCAACCACCTGTTTCTTGCAGCTCAGAACTCCCTCCATCTCTTCTGCGACAAGGCTTGTAGGAACTTGTGGTATTTTGTGAATATAAAAGCTTGTGATGAACCAGGCAGTGGTGGCACATGCCTTTAGTCTGAGCATTCGGGAGGCAGAGGTCTGCCTTGTCTACAGAGCAAGTTCAAGACAGCCTGTCTTGAAGAAAACACAGAAAAGCAAAACAAAACAAAGTGATGAAGAGTAGGGTTGGAAGGTTCTCCAAGCTGTTGGCTATAGTAGGAGATATAGAGCCTTGGAGGTAATTTTGTACTTTAACCAATAGCACCATCTTATAAGCATACAGCAGCCTCTGTGTTTAAATGTGAGACCTCTTCTTTATTTCAAGGCTAATAACCATCTATTCCGGTGCCATAATACTATCTTCAAAACTCCATTCTTGGTTCTTGTTAGTCACTCAAAATCTTCATTTCCTTCCCTCATGGAGAAGGTGACTGCTTTTCTTATCACTTACAGACTGTGACACCAAACTTCCAGGACTGCTAAAGAGGGAACAGTCCTCGGTGAGGAAGGGGAAGGGGCTGTGTGTCTATGGTGGGTGTGAGAGCTGACCATCTAAATAGTGGTGCATCTTTGGGGGAACTCTCCATGTGTCTTTTCTTGAACCTTTGATTCTGTATCATCATGGGTAAGTTGTGAGGGTTTGTTCGAAGTGGTCTCTGGAGTTCCTTTTTGAACCTGTACCCTCATATAAACTGGTTGTGTTTGGAATTCACTCAGACAGTAAATGCGAAAAAACTGGAGAAGGCTGAAGCTAGACTGAAGGCAAAGCAGGAGAAGCGTTCAGAGAAGGAAACCCTGAAGACCAGCAGCCCTCTGTGAGTTTCGGAAGATGGGCTCAGAAGGAAGCAGGGCAGGCTCTAGTATTGAAGGGCTGTCAGGAGCCCTAAAAACTATCCATGTCTCCATTTAAAAGAGTCCTGGAGGAGGCGTCAGCTAGCCAGG